AGGTCAAATCGAGTGCATTGCATTGTGGGATGCAGCATTAGCAGCATGCGTTCTGCACATTTGGCTGTATTTCAATGCTAATTAGTTGCTTTTATGATAATCGGTCACATTAAGAGGTGTTCATTGTGCTCACATTTGCAACCAACATTTTGAAAGCTGCATAAATCAGCATAAATTCAGCCCACATTGAGGTCAGAGTCCCATAATGAAATAAAAGAGCCCAATTAAACAGAAAACAGAAAAATTATAGACATGTAAATGCTTACCTGTTGAAGTGAAATGTCTTTGCTGGTTTTGTCCGCATTATATCGTTTGATTAACTTGAGTTTTTGAGTACAGGAAACTCAGTATAAGTGTGGATCAGTGCTGAATATCCCCTTAGACTATGAATAATATGACAATTATGTTTATTCATAGTTTAAAAATATGTTTGATAAACAAAAATGCCTTTTAATTAAATATGGTACACATTAGGGCTGTGCATTATTGGAAAAAAGTCATATTCACTTTTTGGCCACTTTATTAGGTACACCTTACTAGAACCGGGTTGGATCCCCTTTTGCCTTCAGAACTCCCTTAGTCCTTCGTGGCGTAGATTTAACAAGGTACTGGAAATGATCCTCAGAGATTTTGGTCCATATTTACGTGACGGCATCACGCAGTTGTTGCAGATTTGTCGGCTGCACATCCATGATGCGAATCTCCCGTTCCACCTCATCCCAAAGGTGCTCTATTGGATTAAGAAAACATTCACCACACCATTACACCAATGCCAGCCTGAACCGTTGATACCCTAGCATCTGAATGTTGCAGCAGAAATTGAGACTCATCAGACCAGGCAATGTTTTTCCAATCTTCTGTTGTCAAATTTTGTTGAGCCTGTGTGAATTGTAGCCTCTGTTTCCTGTTCGTAGCTGACAGGAGTGGCACCCGGTGTGGTCTTCTGCTGCTGTAGCCCATCCGCCTTAAGGTTGGATGTGTTGTGGTTCAGAGATGCTTTATCAGATTATTTATTAGACCTTTCAAAGTATTGGGATTTTATGCTCTGAACAAAGTGTAGCTGTTTTTATTGCCTGTACCTTTAATGCTAGTTGTCCATGCTCATCATTCTCACGTGCCTGTCAGAGTGTGTCTCCGTCTCCTGCTGCGTCGGATAAACAGCACAGTGACAGACATGAGGCAAGCAGATCTCACATAACGTTTGTACAAATACTGCAGGAAGAACTTTCCCAATGATTATTTGATGTATTTGTTGTGGAGTTAATTCAAGCCTTATTGCAACGTTGAGTCACACACAATAGAAAGTTCACACACACAGCGCACGCGTTTAACTTTGCACTGTTTTTGCATGGCAAATGTGACAGGATACATGTTAATATCCACTGCTGTATGGATATCCGTTATGTTAATGTACAAAATAAACGTGATTTATTGTCCACATACTGAGATTGAAGCGTCTTCTTTTATAATTGTTCTGACATGCGGCTGTGGTGATGAAGATGGTAAAATGTCTGTAATTCAATACAAACATGCACTGTTTTACAGACATGATAACCTGTGAAACTCATTCTTGATCACATTTGATGATGATTGATGATCACAGAGAGCTGAACAGATCTTTAATCCCGGTTGCTTCGAGCAAGTCCTCTCTTGTTGATATGATTATACATGTTACTACAGAGACATGTTAATACACGGCTGTCAATCAATTCGGTGGGCGGGAAAACCGCACTCCTACGTCATGTTGTGGTGGGCCTCAAAATGGGAGGGATTTGGATACTATTTTAACGTCAGGAAATTTAAAAAAAGAGGCTTATTGTTTTTATATCAGCCTAATATGACTGTGGACACGCTATACCTGCACACAGTTCTGTCCAAACAGCTTACAGAAGACGATTTTCATCATAGGTGCCCTTTAAAAGAAGCAATTTTTTTTACAGTGAGGAAAACAGACATTATGGTAATGATTAACAACAACACACACACACACACACACACACACACACACACACACACACACACCTGCTGTTTTGCACAGAAGTGCTACATATAAAGTGCAATGCTGATTAGATTAATTAAGTTGTTTAATGAGTGATTTAGTTGAAAACAGACATTACGGTAATGATTAAAAAACAAAACACACACACATACACATCTGCTGTTTTGCACAGTAGCGCTATATATAGAGGCACTCGGTGATGCTCTGAAATAAACACAGATCCCGGACTCCAGTATGTCTCCCGCCGCGTGGCTGCCTTTTGTTTGTGATTGACGTCAGAGGTGTTGACCTTTGAGAGGAATCATTATTTTTCCACGCCGTCTCGTTAGGAGAGAAGCGGGTTTTCATGCCACTCATTCGAGCGCGTCTCTGGCCTCTTTTTCTGATAAACGTGCACAGGTCACTATGTGAAGCCGACGGACAGACCAAACACTGTGTATGCCGGAGTGACGCACGCGCTGCTGTCCGTCTGAACACACCAGCGCTGCTTTAAATTGCTTTCTGTGAAGTGGATTATAGAGCGTGCGGCGGTAAACACTGCATTATCTCTGTTGAATGCATGCCTCAGTCCACTTACTTTATTCCACAAAGAGGCTTTTTTTCATTTCAAGGACTCTGACCGATTGCTTGCCGTGTCTGAAATAACTCGCAGAATTCTTCCTTTTTTGTTTCTTTGTTTTAGAGTTATTCTGGGTTGAAACGAGATGTGGGCTTTCTGCATAATATGGAGTCTTACTGTGCGTTCATAACGAAAGCGGTGAGAGTGTCCAAGGTCGCTCTGGGCGCCCTGGCGACAACGATGTCTGCCTTCAGCTCCGGTGGCGAGAGCGTCAAAATTCGCTACATTGATCTTGTATTTAAAGGGGCCTTTGCAGCATATCATATCAGTTACACTCCTGCATAAAACCTGCTGTCTAGCGTAAAAATGTTGCGCACTTCTTATCAAATTCGTTTAACAATGGAAGATCAAGTTGCAAGTGCTGTGAATTTGCTCCACTTAATAATCCAATGTGTATGGGGGCGGCAGCATCATGTTGTGGGGCTGTTTTGCTGCAGGAGGGACTGGTCCACTTCAGAGCATAGATGGCATCATGAAGAAAGAACATTATGTAGAAATACTGAAACAACATCTCAAGACATCAGCCAGGAAATTAAAACTTGGCCACAAATGGGTCTTCCAAACAGACCTTGACCCTAAGCATACTGCCAAATTAGTTAAAATGTGCTGTAAGGACAACAGAGTGAATGTTTTAGAGTGGCCATCACAAAGCCCTGATTTCAATCCTATGGAAAATTTGTGGGCAGAGTTGACCAAGCTTGTGCGAGCAAGACAGCCAACAAATCTGACTCGGTTACACCAATTCTGTCAGGAGGAATGGGCCAAAACTCTTTCAAGCTATTGTGAGAAGCTTGTGGAAAGACACCCAAAAAACATTTGACCAAAGTTTAAAAGCAAAGCTAAAAAATACCAGGGAAATGTGTGTAAACTTTAAAATTAGTAAAAAAAATTCTCGATAAAGAATTCTCTCATTATTCTGGCATTTAGCAAATGTAAATCATTTAGGTAACCCTAACAGACCTAAAATAGTAAACGTTTAGTATGATTTACTATCGGACATTTAAAAAAAAAAATTGGTCCTTTTTTTTTTTTATTTTTTTTTTATAAAGGTGTATGTAAACTGGTTTCAACTGTATTTATCATCAATGCAGTCCATTTATAAGAACTAATATATGAAGCAGATTTTATTTCTTGAGATTTATACCTAAGTAAAGCCCTGCTCGCGCTGTGAGATTTCAGCCAAGATTTTGTCATCTGAGACAAATTTGTAAAATTCTAAAAGATTCCTGAAATCCTAGGTTAAAATCGGTGATCTTTGACTGTTGGTTTGACGTGTTCTCAGAAAGCCGCTTAGTGCTCGTTGCGATCAGATTTTCCTTGGCAGTGTCAGATTTCAGACACTCCTGCAGTGTGACAACAGCTGCGATGAGCGTCAATCCAGGAACCAATAGGAGATCCGAATTTGATGACACAATGCATGTGACAAATCAAACGACCGGAGGAAATGTCGAAACTGTTTTTTTCTTCCTGGCTTTATTATTGAGACACGTTTGCAGAATTGCCTCTGCAGATTGTTTACGTTTGCTGTGAGGAATCATTTCAGAATGCGGGATAGTGAAAGTGTCACTGCTGTATGACGTCAAACTCCAAAGGGATATTCTTTCGTGTTTGACGCGTCTTCATTGTCGTTCAGTCTGACTTTATGACAGCTGAGATCTTACAGTGTGACATGGGAGCCATGTTCATGCAGTCTGACATGCTACAATCATTCAGGATTATAAAAAAATCCCACAGTGTGAGCCGGCCTTTAGTTCAGTCCTGCTTGAACTACTAATAAAAAAGTATTCGAAATACCCATTAAAGTCTGCCATAAAGCTGCAACTGTTTATGTTTTGTATTGTGACACAGTTCCTAGAGAAACAAAATATTAAATGAGAAAGCAGTGGGCGTGGCTTGTTTTTTTTACTGCGAGTTGATTGGATTAGTAAAGTAGGTATTTCATTCAGAAAGATCTGGACATGGGTTTTAACAGTCTCCTCCTCTCCCTTTCTATTTTTTGTCATAGTTCTGACAGTTAAAGGGGCGTGGTTAAGTATGTTAGCCACACCCAATACTTCAGACAGAAGGAATCTGAGAATTTAGCTGAAAACAAAAGTGCATTTTCAAGAGCAAACCATTTTTTTTAATGTTAGCTCAGATGAATAATTCACCACAAACTAGCAATGTGAGCTAACAACTTCAATATAAGAGTTAGTTTTGGTTTTTAAAAGCACAACGTCTGCTCGTGGTCTTCTTTTGAACTCTTCAGCAGTGATTTCCCATCATTTGCATTATAAATAATTTCTTTGTTTGGACAGATTGCGAGTAGCTGGAATGCTCCTGCTGTTTTTGAAGATTATAAATAAGCATGCTCGTTCAGACATGTATCTGTTTTCTCCACAGGTAAGGACCGTGTGTTTAACACTCCACTGTGTGAGCAAGGCATTGTGGGATTTGGGATCGGAGCGGCTGCTGCCGGAGCCACCGCTATTGCAGAGATTCAGTTTGCCGACTACATTTTCCCAGCATTTGATCAGGTATTAGGCTTTTTTTGATCACTACATGGTTATTTAAAAAAAAAAAAAAAAAAAAAAAAAATATATATATATATATTACGGAAGCGTAGAGCTGCCACCCAGGTAAAAAAAATATGAGCTTTATCACGTTTGTACAATATACTTTTCACGTTCTTACAATATAATATCACGTTTGTACAATATAATATCACGTTTGTACAATATACTTTTCACGTTCTTACAATATAATATCACGTTTGTACAATATAATATCACGTTTGTACAATATACTTTTCACGTTCTTACAATATAATATCACGTTTGTACAATATACTATCACGTTTGTACAATATAATATTAAGTTTGTACAATATACTTTTCACGTTCTTACAATATAATATCACGTTTGTACAATATAATATCACGTTTGTACAATATACTTTTCACGTTCTTACAATATAATATCACGTTTGTACAATATAATATCACGTTTGTACAATATACTTTTCACGTTCTTACAATATAATATCACGTTTGTACAATATAATATCACGTTTGTACAATATACTTTTCACGTTCTTACAATATAATATCACGTTTGTACAATATAATATCACGTTTGTACAATATACTTTTCACGTTCTTACAATATAATATCACGTTTGTACAATATACTTTTCACGTTCTTACAATATAATATCACGTTTGTACAATATAATATCACGTTTGTACAATATAATATCACGTTTGTACAATATAATATCACGTTTGTACAATATACTTTTCACGTTTGTACAATATAATATCACGTTTGTACAATATAATATCACGTTTGTACAATATAATATCACGTTTGTACAATATAATATCACGTTTGTACAATATACTTTTCACGTTTGTACAATATAATATCACGTTTGTACAATATAATATCACGTTTGTACAATATACTTTTCACGTTTGTACAATATAATATCACGTTTGTACAATATAATATCACGTTTGTACAATATACTTTTCACGTTTGTACAATATAATATCACGTTTGTACAATATACTTTTCACGTTTGTACAATATAATATCACGTTTGTACAATATAATATCACGTTCTTACAATATAATATCACGTTTGTACAATATAATTATCACGTTCTTACAATATAATATCATGTTTGTACAATATAATTATCACGTTATTTGCCGCCATACGTGCGCACAGATGATGATGTGCGCGCGCGGGACTTTTTTTCTCGCGCTGGATCAGTTGAGTGCGCGCGTGAAGATCCCCTGTGCGCTCGCGTATGTAATCTGCTCACGGTTCACTTCTTAAACGCGCGCAAACATCATTGCTGCGCTCGATTAATATTGGCATTGATTTGCCGACATACCACGTCGACTCCTACGACAAACTGAAGCCCTTTGGAATCTGTATAAATGGAGCCATTGATGGGTTTTCGAGAGCTATGATTTGGCTTCATGCCTTTTCAACAAACAGTGATCCCAAAATTATTGCTGGTTATTTCATAGCAGAAGTTGAAAAGAGGCTTGGGACACCTTCCTGGATTCGCTCCGATCTGGGAACAGAAAATGTCACAATGGCAGACATGCAAAGATTCTTGCGATGGAGTATGGATCATAACGTCAACTGTTTTATTACTGGGTCTAGTAATCACAATCAGTAGCTGCAAAATTTCATGTCTTAATTCAAGCATAAAATAGAACTTAATTAATTCAGTAAAACGAGACATTTTCTCACGCTCTGATCGCACCAGTAGCCTAAGCAATAAAGTTTTCACGTAATAACGTGATAATTATATTGTACAAACATGATATTATATTGTATGAACGTGACAATTATATTGTACAAACGTGATATTATATTGTACAAACGTGATATTATATTGTAAGAACGTGAAAAGTATATTGTACAAACGTGATATTATATTGTACAAACGTGAAAAGTATATTGTACAAACGTGATATTATATTGTACAAACGTGATATTATATTGTACAAACGTGATATTATATTGTACAAACATGATATTATATTGTATGAACGTGAAAAGTATATTGTACAAACGTGATAAAGCTCATATTTTTTTTTACCTGGGTGGCAGCTCTACGCTTCCGTAATATATATATATATATATATATATATATATATATATATATTTTTTTTTTTCTCTACATTTGCAATGCTTGTTAGAGGGCCTACTCACACTGTGCTATCCGAACCCTGCCCAGGCTGGTTTCCTGGATCGTTTAAGACGTGTGAGTGCGCTGAATCGGGCTTAGGCACGGTTCATTTGGCTGGCCCTGGCCCGGTTTGAAGAGGTGCCCCTGAGCGTGTTTCACTTGGGCTTTGGCACGGTACGCTTGTGTGTGAGTGCAAAACGTGCCTGAGTCCGAAACTGAAAGCGAGACGTGACTTTAAGGGGCTTTTTGATACGGATTTATTAATCATTCTTACTGTTCAATAAACACAAACTGCCGTAGATTATTAAAGACGCAAACCCCTCACTGCACCACAGCTGCACCTTTAGCAAACCTCCTATGAGCCTATAACCTCCCTTATGAGCGTCAAAAGTGGCTAATCTGTTCGGCAAAATATTTGACTGCATGTCACTGCATATCAAACGACTTAAACTGTGCTGCTGAGTGAGATCGCTTCTCTATTAAGCAGCGCATCATCGATGACGTAAGCGTGCCCAGGCCCGAATGTAATGTGAGTGCGGGCCGTCAGGAGATACTGAAGGGGGGACAAGTGTGCTTTGGCCCGGTTCAAGGCAACAGTACATAGTGCGAGTACGGCCAGAGAGTAGTGAAATTCAGAATCGTATATTTGAGTGTGAGTAATCCACTACCTAGTAGAATCAAAATAAAAATTTTCAGCTGAGATTAACAAGATGCTTTCTGTGCTATACTTATTCGTGATGCCTTTTGTAATTCAAGTCTTGGTAAAAATTTAAGTACAATGTTGAATTGTATACTTGTTCTCACACACACACACACACACACACACACACACACACATATATATATATATTTTTTTTTTTTTTTACATTCTTGACAAAACAGTTTTCGATTTAACGTCTTTCTCAGTGTGTAAAACTCCCTTTACCTTCTTTTGAAGTCGTCAATCAAATTTACATAATCAACAATGAAGTTTTCAAAGATTAAAAAGACATTATATTTTCTTCATATACATATTGGATAATATTCATCATGAGAAATAGCACATCCGCACATAAAAAGCACCAGTAAGAGGATGCAGGTTCTTGACTGGCCTGCCTGCAGTCCCGACCTGTCTACAATATAGAATGTGTGGATTTCGAGGCGCAAAATGTGACAACGCAGACCCCATGCTTTTGTCCACCTATGACTTGTTTGCAGGGAGAATGGGACAGAATTACTCTTAAAACATTTCATCACTTGGTGTTTTCAGTCCCTTAAAGTCTTTTAAGTGTTGTAAAAGGAATGGCAACATTACAAAGTGGTAAATGCTCTACTACTTTTTTTGAATGTTTACTTAAAAAAAAAAATCATGACAAACACATTAAATGTTTGTTTTATAGTCTGCAATGAAATCACTACTTTTTATTTTTTTTATTGGTGTTTTTTTATGCTCTCCCAACTTTTTCTGATTTGTTGTTGTGTAAAATATACTTTTTTTTTTTTTTTTGCTCTCAAACTAAATATAAAAAACACAAAACTAACTCTATACATGGGGAAACTGCTTCACTTTTCGATGAATCGTTCAGCCATAGATTAGAGTCTGGATAAACTCTGATAACTCTGGAAGCACTTTCACGTCATGCTCTTCATTATCATCTCATTATGTCACCATAAGAGTCTGTAAAACCTTAATTTTCATGATTCCCTCCTAGCAGTTGTGCGAGAATGTCCTGGCTTTGGGACCGTGGAAGGAAAACTGCTTTAAAATGTAAAATCTGGTTAACGAGTGGAGTTTGGGTGTAACTGTAGTGCCAAGCAGCCCATCTTTTCTTGCACACAGATGTTTCAGTATAATGTTAACATCTACTTTCTCTGTGAATTTATGTTTTGAATCTTTACTGCAAACGTCACATCCATAATGCAGGAATTTCTCAAATGTAAAGTTCATCTGTTTCTGTTGAAGATTGTAAACGAAGCGGCGAAGTACCGCTACCGCTCAGGGAACATGTACGACTGTGGGAAGCTGACCATCAGATCTCCATGGGGCTGCGTGGGTCACGGATCGCTCTATCACTCCCAAAGCCCAGAGGCCTTCTTCGCTCACTGTCCTGGATTAAAGGTCAGTCTCATGACCAACTCACAATCACAAGAAAAGAACAATTCATTTTAAAATTTAAATGGCGACGCGATGATAGGCAGTGCTGTCGCCTCACAGCAAGAAGGTCACTGGTTCGAGCCTCGGCTGGGTCCGTTGACATTTCTGTGTGGAGTTTGCATGAATGTGTGGAGTTTTTCCATTTTGTACTGTATATTCTTCTTCGCGATCCAACACGAGGTGACAACTCTGTTGGGTTTCAATGGTGTTAGTTGTTTGGCATTGAGTTTGTGTGACCCAGCCCTTAGCCATACTGTTAAACCTGTCATTAATCTTTGACTACCCATAGCATTAAACCTGTTAGTAACCTTACATCTACCAATACATCTTTCTTTGAACTTAACCAACCTTGAAATCTTTTCTTACCCATAACCCACTCTTAAACTTACCCATACCACCAAACCTCTGCCTAACCTTCTGATCCGTTTCCCAGTTCAACAGAAGAAACTGTGTTTTGCAGTGTACTGTACTTTAAATGTAATGAAGTCATTTAAAAGACTTGTCATTTCTCCAATGTCTGAGCCTCTGCTTCTCCTCATCTCTCCCCATTTGATTACCTGTGAATCACAAAACTCTTTCCTCATTGTTTCTCTGTTAGGTTGTAGTGCCGAGGGGTCCAGTCCAGGCCAAGGGTCTCCTATTGTCCTGCATCGAAGATAAAAACCCCTGCATCTTCTTTGAGCCCAAAATCCTGTACAGAGCAGCAGGTGAGAGACCGTACAGCATTCACAAGGGGATTATGGGTAACCAAAATGATTGTTGGAAGCTGCCGATTTGGTTCTATACAGTAACTATCATAATTAGGGACGGGTATCGTTTAATTTTTGTTAATACCGATAGTGATTCCTATATCGCTTATCAATAAGGGAAATATATATATAAATATATTTCCCTTATCGCTAAGCGATATAGGAATTATGTATGTATATATATATATATATAAATATATATATATATATATATATATAAACAGTAAATATAATATAAATAATTGAAAACAATTAAATGCAGTGCATAGCTTGAGTTGGATGGCATGATTTGTTAGTCGTCTTATATTCTAATGTTGCCAAGTTTTTTTTACAGTTACTGCATGGTTATTTTCAGACATTTCACCCTTCATAAACTCATTAATAGTACAAAAAGTTTAGTAATAATAATAATAATAAAAGAACATTTTGGAGGTCATATTTAAGTCATTTATAATACAGACATTTGTACAGTCATGAAATGTAAACTAAATCATCAAGCAAGCCTGTCACGAGAAGGGATTTTTGTTGTGCGATTTTGTCACAGAAATTGTTGCAATAAGGGATATTATTGTCCTTTTCAAATCATTTTATGCCACTGATTATATGGTTATATAACAGCATAATAATGCAAATAAGGTTATTCGATTCTTAAGGTTATTTAGATTCTATAATTTGGTGTAAACAAGGTAAATATCCTAAATTATATATATTAAAAGTCTTATTAGGTAAATGTTTGGCAACGGTGAGGTACTGTAGAACGACAGTGCCATTATAAAATGGCTTTGTGAATTTGTAAATGTATATTGCAGTTGCAAAAATTATTGAGGTAGTCTCCAAGTATTGCACGAAAAGTCAATATATTGTTTATGTTTTTGTGACAGGCCTGTTAGTAATAATAGTAACTTCACTGTGTTCAGGGTTTTTGTTTAACCGATTTGTTGTGGTTGTTTTCGGGTTGATACGACTATACAATTTCCCAGAAATAGGTAAAAACATATGCTGGATAAGTTGGTGGTTCATTCCGCTGTGGCGACCCCTGATTAATAAAGGGACTAAGCCGAAAAGAAATTGAATGAATGAATGAATGAACAACTATACAATTGGAGCAAAGTGGTGGCATTTATTGTTCTCTGTTTGCACTGTTAAAATATCTGATTTGTGTACATGTCTGTTCACTTTCAGATGTTTTAGTGATGCTTTTTTTCCCTTGACTTAATGTTAAACCTATTTTTTAGTAATATCGTATTATTAAATAATGTGTTGCATATGGAATATTGCATTATTTAGCATTATTCAATACATTTGACACAATGAAATCCCTGCAAAATAAATTTTACATTCAGAATTTATTTCCCCCTAATGAGGAACAGAAAACTTTTGCTGTGAGTATATCGGATCGCTAATAATGTTCCCGATGTTTATACACAGTTGGTTTCTGGATTCCAACACCAGCATGATTAATGCAGATGAAAAAAAATGATTTGAAGCAATAATGTTATGCATCACACTGAACTGAATTATCAGAAGAGTCAGTTCTGATTGTCTCACTCGGGCTGAGCTCGCTGATTTGTGGTTCAGAGGCTTTACCCCAGGGTTCAAGTGATTGATGAAGTCTAGTAAAATGCATCACTGACGGTCCAGAGCGGTGTTCTGCTGGACGCTTGATATGTGTTTTCAGCCGACACGCACTCTATCATTTAAAAATACTGCTGATTCTAATGATAAAACCACTCTTGCAGATGGAAAAGCATACCTATTCATGGTAAAATCATGAAAGGGATCATATTTATGAAAGTATATATGACGTGTAATGTAAGAACTAATTGTGCTGACACTTTAGTTTAAGTATTTAGTTTAGCTACTGGCTTAGTAACTTCCTATTATTAATTTATTAGCTGTTTATTCATGCTTATAAAGTACAACCTCAAATCAGAAAACGTTGGGACAGTATATAAAACGCAAATAAATAAAAGTAGTGATTTCTAAATTTACTTTGAGTTGTGTATTATTGCAGATAAGATGAACACAAAATGTTTCATGTTTTGTCAGGTTGGCTTCATTTAATTCCAAAAAAAGTTGGGACAGAAGCAGTTTAGAGCTAGTAATCAGGTGGATTGGTTAAATAATGATGTGATTTGAAACGAGGTCAACAGGTGATTGTAATATGATTTTTGTACGAAAGCAAAAAATGTAACTACACGTCGCAACGACGCGTAGAGCAAGCTCTGTGATTGGTTGGCTTGGAAGCGTTGACGAATGTGGGCGGGACCGAGAGCTGCATGAGTCTGTTGGAACGACTGTGAAGGAGCTCCTGATGGAAAGTTTTGTGTTGTGTTTACCTCATGGTTAAAGTTGTTGCACATCCGCCGGTTCCTGCCTCAAAATGAGTGAGTTTAAACTACTTATACATTAAGGAAGCGTTCAGAAAAAACAAAACATCAGCGAAGAAACTCGACACAGAGGAACATTAACACCTCACTGCCAACTAGCGTTTCGGAAAGTGTTATTGCAGAGCAACAGAGACAGCGCACAAACGTATTATTGCACAGCTACGCGTGTTGCATGCGCCGTGGGTCATGCCGATCACATGATGCAGAAGTATAAACCAGGCTTAAGACTTACTTGCAGGAATAATGGGACAAAATTACGCTTCATCACTTGGTGTCTTTAGTCCCTAAACATCTTTTAAGTGTTGTGAAAAGGAATGGCAACATTACAAAGTGGTAACTGCTTTACTGCTCCACAATATTTTTGAAATGTGTTGCTGGAACCAAAATTGGAAAACGTGTTTATTTTGAAAAAAAATGTACAATAAAAATCACGAGGAACACATTAAATAATGTTTGTTTGATTGTCTGCAATGAAACACAAGTCAGGGTATATTTATAAATCATTTTTTATAAGCGTTTTCCATACTGTCCCAAATTTTTCTGATTTGTGGTTGTATGATCTACAGTCCTAATCCTAGAAAACCTAAACCCAGCTACTAGCTTGCTAACTATTCTTAAGCAGCAAAATAAGAAGTTTATTGAGCTGTATATTTAAATCTGCATTGTTTTTTAACAAAGCGCTAGCTTGCTTTTAAGTTATACAATCTAATGTTCACACAGAAGGTGATGTCAATCATCTAAACAATGGCTACACTCCTTTAAGGTCAACCGAACCTGAATGGGTTACAATTTACGACATTACTTCAAATGTTGGCAAAGAGTGATTGAAATTAAATCTGGAAAGTGGAAATTGCCATTAAATAAACATATTGCAGTTTCACATCAAGATTTATACTACAGGCAAAATGATTTATCCCAGCCATGTAAGAATAACTGCGTTTGAAAAGAAATACAATAAAATAGAGGAGCACCGCTCTAAAATTAAAACCAAAGATCCTAAAACAAGCTCCAGTGTTCAGTCAGGAAATTAAAGTCGTTCAGCAAGATTCTTGAGGAACGCACAAGTCAGAGAGACGACATGCAGACAGATCTGAAGAGAGCAGATACGTACCCATTAATCCTCATGGAAAACCACACTTGCATTGGCTTCCTTAAAATATCATTAATTTCCCCCTTCCACTCTTCCTTCAGTCTCATTACTGAACCGTTTATCTGGATATGAGGATTGTGTTGTTTAGAGACGTTCATACAGTGCAGTGCTTGTGCTTTCAATGACACCACCATTACATTTATTATCTTAACACATGGCTTGACTTGTTAGTTCTTGGAAGCAACTTGTCAATTTGTCATAGAAACATGTTATCAACTTGTTAATTCATGCTAGGTACATGCTAACAACATGCTAATTCATGCTAATTACATGTTAACACCATTTTAGATTTCTGCTAACAACATGGTAATTTATGCTAGATTCATGGTAACCATTAGTTCATGTTAGAATCATGCAAACAACATTCTAAAAACATGCTAACAACATGATCATAGAAAAATAAAGGTAGCAGCATGTTTATTCATAGTAGCATTGTTCCAACAACATAATTCATGTTAGAAACATGCGATCAACTTGCTAATTTATGGTAGAAACATGGTATTAACATAGTAAATAATGCTAGATTCATGCTAACAACATGCTAATACATGTTAGATACATGCTAAAAGCATGCTAATTCATGCTAAATACATGTTAACACAATTTTAGATTTCTGCTAACAACATAGTAATTTATGCTAGATTCATGGTAACCATGTATTAGTTAAAGTTGGAATCATGCAAACAACATTCTAAAAACATGCTAACAACATGATCATAGAAAAAAAAGGTAGCAGCATGTTTATTCATTGTAGCATTGTTCCAACAACATAAATCATGCTAGAAACATGCGATCAACTTGCTAGTTTATGGTAGAAACATGTTGACAAAATAGTAATTAATGCTAGATTAATGCTAACAACATGCTAATACATGTTAGAAACTTGCTAACAGCATGTTAATTCATGCTAAATACATGTTAACACCATTTTAGATTTCTGCTAACAACATGGTAATTCATGCTAGATTCATGGTAACCATGTGTTAGTTCATGTTAAAATCATGCAAACAACATTCTAAAAACATGCTAACATGATAATAGAAAAATAAAGATAGCACCATGTTTATTTATAGTAGAATTGTTGTACATGTTAACAACATGCTAGTTCATACTAGAACCATGCTAACAACATGCTAGTTCATACTAGTACCATGCTAACAACATGCTAGTTCACACTAGAAACATGCCAATAACATGCTAATTCATACCACAACCATTTCACATCATTAGTAATTCATACTAGTATCGTGTTAACAAAAATGCTTATTCAAGTTAGATACATGCTAACAACATGCTAATGTTAAAATGATTCTAGCAACATGATCATATGTTAAAATGAAGCCATTTCATGTTAAAACATGTGGAGTCATGCTCGAAACATGCTAATAACATGGCTTTCTTAAACCATCATAAAGTTT